CTACTACTACAAGGTAAGTAATTCAACTAGTTTTATTTGATTCAAGTACCCCATGCCATGCTAGTTAGGATAAGAACCTTGGAAAAATAATTATTTGCATGTATCTTAGTCAAACATAGATCCAAGGTTTCTAGGGTTGCATGTACACCATAGGAGTGTTAGAATGCTGAAAAACCCATCAGTGGTATCAGAGCCTGGTTTGTTTATTTGATACTTGATGCAAAAAAAAAAAAAAAAAAAAAAAAAAAAAAAACTTGAAAATCGAAGTTTTGTTCAAAAGCTCGTATCAAAATTTCAAGTTTTGTATATGTACTTACGATTCTTGAAATTTTTGATATGAACATTCATAAACATATGAGTTTAGAAGATCATAGAAATTATGTGCTAATAATTGATTAAATTAATTCTTGATATTTATGTGTTTTAATGGAGTCCATAACTAGTTCTTAAGTTATGGATAACCAAAAGTCACATTTGTAAATAACCATTAAAAAAACACATAGGTTACAAAAAATGAAGAGTCTTCATTTTTAATAACCATTAACTCATAAGTTATGAGAAATGAAAAGTCTTGAAAGTTTACAAAACTTGCCCTCAAGTTTTGGAACATATAAAGTCATATTAAAAACTTTAGTTCCAACCCTTATAATTTTAAAAGTTAAAATTCAACCCTTATACTTTATAATATTATAAGTTTAATAATATTTATATATGTATAAGATCAAGTCGTCTTACCGCTAGTACGCCTCATTCACGAAGCCGGTCTTTTCAGATTCATTGAAACTATTCAATGGCATGTTTAATCTCTGATTATGCATTTCTATCTGTGAATGGGATATTGAGGATCATAAACAATATTTGAATAACCATGCAAATGTGCTTGGCAACCACATTGCCATTTGTCATCCCAAATGGTGTGTTGGTAAACCACACACGCTCCATCAACAATGATAATTTATGAGATACCCTATACAACTCTTTATTATTCCCTATTAGTGTGTTGGTTAACCACATACGTTCCACTAACGTCTTATATAGTGTAATGTGCAATTTTGATGGGTTAGCCTACTAATTCACATTTTTACTAAAGTAACTAGATTTGTGATTTTAAATAAAAGGTTCTAGTATTTTTAATAACATTATACTTTTAATGAGATTTAGTTGTCCTATCAAATCCGTTATGCTAACGACCCTCCACTAATCAAGGAAGCGGTGGGTGAGGGTGGAGACCCATTTAACTACCATTTTATAGGTAGTTTCCTTATACCCTCTTATAAACTATCTTCGTGAATGAGGCATAGTTGCGATTTTGACTTAGTGATTCTTATATATATATATATATATATATATATATATATATATATATATATATATATATATATTAACAATTAATAGTAATATATATAAGTTGTATTTTAAACATTTCAAAATACTAGGTTTATTTAATTTTAAATTTCGAAAATTAATGATCAATTAATTTAAATTTAAAATAAACCAAAAAATTGATTTAATATTTGTCTATAAATTAACAATTAGTTAAATATATTAAATCAAATAAGGAATAACTAATTAAACTTATCAAATAATTTAATCCTTATCCTAAGCCTCTAGTTTTCGAAAATTAGTGTGTAGGAGTTATCCAATTTTATAATTATCCCTTTTAATCAAATTAAACTAACAATTATCTAAAATAGGAAACCCTAACAACATAGCCATTTTCGAAAATCTTGGGGAGGAAGGCTAGGGTTTCAAAAACCTTAAACCTAAATTTCGAAATCAATGGAAAGGGGCTAGCGTTTCGAAAAAACCCTAACCCTAGTCGAAATTCTTGGCTTTTAGGGTTGAATTTCTATAAACCCTAATTGATCTAATTCTACTATTATGGTTATTCAATTGAAAACAAATCAAACGCTCTGATACCACTAATAGAATTTAGGTAAAACAAATAACTTTAAAAACCCTTAAGTTCACATACAACCTAAATGATCTATGTTTTCCCTATTGAAGAGGATAACTCTTAGGGTTTATATATGGAGAGAGGATTTGAATTTGAATTCGAACTGTTTAATGGAGGGGAAAGAGAAAAACCACAACACGCATCATTCCAAATCATGCCCATCATTCCAAATATAATGGTCCAATAATATGTTTCCAGTGCATCAATTTTTTATGATAACCTTAAACTCCGTTTATCAATCATGATGATGTTAGCCCCTTAGAATGCGCTCCTTGAATTTTAAAATGCAAAGAAAACATGCCATTTGGAATTGCAGCAGTTTCGCAATCACTGATCCACCCTTCAATTTTTGAAAATTCAAATAGTATCCATTGGAATTATGACCAATATTGACTTTCGCAAGCGCAAAACAATTTTTAACCAATCAGAACCCAAATTTAGACGGATACCACAACCCAGGAGAAGTAGTCTTATGAAGATATCTAAAAATATTCATCAATGCCATCATATGTGGTTCTCGTGGATTAGCTTGAAATCTCACACAATAGAAAACTGCAAACATAATATTAGGACGACTAAATGTTAGATACAATAAAGAACCATTCATCTGCCTGTATGATGTAAGATCTGCCGTAGGTTTATCAACAAAAAGAGTGAGCTTTGTCCCAAATGTCATGAGAACTTTAACCTTTCACTCACCATTCATGCCAAAATTAGAAAGTAAAGTTATCATAAAAGCTTCTTGATTGATGAATATGCCCTTTGAAATCTGTCTAATATTTAGTGCCAGGAAAAAGTTAATTGGACCCATAGAACTCATATCAAATTTAGTTTCCATCAATTTATGAATTTAGCAGTCATATTAGGATCTGTTGATTCGAAAATGATGGCATCAACATAAATTTGAACAATCATTAAATGATTACCTGATTTCTTACGAAAGAAGGTAGGATCAATTGGACCTTGTTTAAATTTCTATTTTTTTAATAATCTAGTCAAATTTTCATACCATGCATGAGGATCTTGCTTCACAGCATATACCGCTTTATCTAGCACATAGAAATGATCAGGAAATTTCTCATTTATGAAACCTGGAGGTTGTTCAACATAAACAGTTTCTTCATGTTCTTCGTTAAGAGATGCACACTTCACATCCATTTGAAATATATAATTTTTTTTTGATCTATATATGCTAACAAGATGCAAAATGACTCCAGTCTTGCTACGGGAGAAAACATTTCTTCGTAATCTATTCCTTCTTCATGACAATATCCTTTGATAACAAGTCGTTCTTTATTCCGAACTACATTTCCTTCTTTATCCATTTTGTTCCAAAAGACGTATTTCAAACTAACAACTAATACATTCTCTAGAGTTGGAATTAATCTCCAGACCTTGTTTCGCAGAAACTCATTCAATTCTTCTTGCATAGCTTTGACCCAATCTTCATGATCAAGATCCATTTTAATAGTTTTAGGTTCGATTTTAGATATTATGATGATATTAAACATGCGAAATTATTGATTAGCATTCAAAGATGCTTGTTTCGCCTTTCGTTATGAACGAGTCAAAACACCTAAAAAAGTATCTCTGATAACTTGAGTTTGTGCATCATCTCTACTCCATTCCGTCAAAGATGGATAGTTTAGATCATAATCAGGGTTTAACTCAACATTGATTTCTTTAACTTCGGATTGAACATCAGCATCATTTTCGGAAGTTTCTTCACTTTGATAAATTAGAATTGAATTATCCCCTTGGAAATTTGGATTTGAACTCCCCCCCTGCACAAAATCATTAATATCTCTTTCAGTTGATTGTGCAATAATTTTTTTTATTGTAGATAAATAATAAGTAGAAGGAGAATCAATATTTTCTACACTCTCCCCTGTGACAGAACGAGTTGTAGAAACAACATTTTCTTTCGAATTTTCAACATTTTATAACACTTCATCAAGTAATTTTAACAATTCATCACCATGATTGTCAGCTTCTTTGGTTTTAGAAGATATTGCCTTTTTAGGTTCATCAAACAAATCTAAAAATTCCTCATAAATATTCGTGGTAGGAATTGTTTTCTTGCACGATTTTGGAAAAAAATTTACTATTTAGACAACTTCTTTCTAAATAGATTTCACATATTTGTCATCAAAGGTAACATAGTGTGTTTGTTCTATTTTCTTTGACTTCTTGTTTAAAACACGATATACTATTGAGTTAAGTGAGTATCCAAAAAATATTGCTTCATCAGCTTTCATTTCGAACTTTTTACGGTGTTCTTTGGAATTAAAGATGAAACACTTGGAGCGAAAAACATGAAAAAATTTCACTTTAGGTTTGCGATTATTCAAAATATCATAAGGTGAAATCAAAAAGCGTTCATTGATATAAGAACGATTTTGTGTATAATAAGCGGTTGCAATTGCATCAGGCAAAAAGTATAATGGCAATTTTTTGAAGGACAACATGGTTCTCGCAACTTCACACAAAGAACGATTTTGTCTTTAAACAGCACCATTTTGCTGTGCAGTATGAGGATATGAAAAGTTATGACTAAATCCTTTGTTTTGTAAGAACTCATCAAAAAAAATATTTTTAAACTCTCTTCCATTATCACTTTGTATCTTTCGAACAAACTTTCGCAATTGAAGTTCAATTTGCTTGATAAAATCAATCTTATTCGTAGTTGTTTCATATTTCAGATTAAGAAAGAATACCCAGGTGAAATGAGAAAAATCATCAACAATAACAAGAACGTATTTGTTACCATCAATGTTTTTAATTGATGATGGACCACAAAGATCTGTATGTATTAATTCTAGTGGTTCGATTATCTTGGTATTCATAATCGAAGAATGATTATTCCTACTTTGCTTTCCTAGTTCGCAATCAGCACACAAATGTTCATTATCATATTTGAGAAGCAGAAGACCGCTAACCAGATCTGCAAGAATAAGTTTATTGATGTCTTTGAAGTTAAGATGCAAAAGTACTGATGATGATCTAGGTGATGATGATGATGATGGCATGTATATGGACGATGCTAGTGATGATAACCCCTTTGAGACCGAGGACCATTATGACCACCTCTTCCAAAAATTTCCACACCACTTTCATGGTCAGTCCTCGGGAGCACTGTTCCATCCACCACTTCAGTACCAGCAGTTTCTGTAGCAGCATGATCTAGGGCCCGAGCTTCCTCTTGATATCTATTATTAGCTTGTCGCCTTGCATTTGTAGGGCAACCAGAATGAATCATGCATTCGACGCATTGAAGAGCAGCAGCTTCGCAACAATAGTTACATGGACGATCTCCGACATTATTTCCAGCCCGAGGGCGGTTACCGTCCTCGTAGGCCTCCACCGCCTTGATCTCGGTATGATCCTTCCTTACTCTTATCCTAAGCATTGAGTACAACGCTTAGTTTTAAGCTTCGGTGAGGTATTCCTATATTTTATTTTGTATACAATTAGGTTGTATATAGTTGCATTTATAGTATATCATTTAGGTCATTTGAAAAATTGCATAAAAATTTTCAAAAATATTGCGTATTTTGTTTCTTTCTTTTCAAATTTTCATACTTTTTAGTTACATTCTACTTTAGGTTTTCATGCATTATTGTTCTCTCTTTTCTTCTCATCTGTATAGGTACCATAGCGCCGATTCATAAGTATTTACACATAGATTGGTCCCTGTTCTTGATATGGAATTCCTTGTGTTGGTCAAATGGGACACACTTTGAGCCTCAAAGACCACTTTGAGACTTCTTGTATGGGAATCAGAAGGGGGTAACCTAAACGGGCGAAGATGTAGATGGAAGTGGTTATTCAGGAGGATGTGTGCAACTAAATATTAGCCCGGTAAGGTATTGAATACATTGAAGAATTGCATCTTGGTTCTTGGGGGAATACCCCTTAGTACTCTTGAGTCTCGGCTGAGCCTTTCTTATTTAGATTCTCACCACCTTTTTAAGATAGGTCATCATTTTTCTTGGGTCTAGAGTATATAGTTAGATAGGTTTTGTTCACCACACGTTACACTGGGTGCTTGATGAACTTTGAGGTTGTTCCCCTAATTCAAATTTTTTGGACCATAGTTTTTTTAGTAACACCAATTTTTTAAGTCATTCCCCACCCTTTTTAGTAGATCTTGACACATTCTGAGTGAACATTAGGTTTTCATGTAAGCCTCTATCTATTAATCGATTTTCATATTCTTGGTGTCTTTTGTTTTGTGGTGAAATTCTTTAGACCTTCCAAGAAGAATTACAAGAAGAAACGAAACAAAAAATGAAGAAAATTGGAAAAGCAAAGAATAGAAACAATAGATATAGATTCAAGAAATGTGACAAAGAAAAATTCAAAGAGAAGAGGAACCCAAAAAGAAAAATCCAAGTTTAAGCATTCTCTCCTAAAAAAAGCCTAAAATAAAACAAACAAAAGGAGGAGAGAAATACAAAGACAGAAAATCAAGAAGCAAAGAGATTGAAGACCAAATAACATAAGTTCAAGAATGAAGATTTAGGATGTCTTGTGTCTATTTCTTAGATTGATTTGCTTTTTTATTTTTGATATTGGTGAGGAAATGCAATGAAGGTGAGACACTAGAATGTAAAGGATAGTACAAGGGACAAACCCTCGAAGCCAGATATTTTCCCAGAGGCGATGCAGTAAACCCAATTTTGTTATGATACACTTAGCCTGACCAATGTAGGAATTATCGTGTATGAATAGGTGCCTTTCTTTCATGCATTATGGTATGAATTGTTGTATAGGGACCTCACTGGGCACATCCTCCTATTTCCTTTGTCTTGTACACTCAACTTGTTGTCACGTTCAGACGATATCTATTCGCCCTTCAAGTTTTTTGAGAATGTGGTATATAGATCGAAAGTGGGGAACATTTAGAAGATACACAGGATCCGTACATGACTGATTTTGACCATGTTGACTAAATTTTACCAAGTTATATGGTATCATTCTTTTTCCTTTTTAGCATTGTTCATCCCGAGCTCATTTTATTCTTCTTCTTATTTGAGGACAAGTAAGGTTTAATCTCAGGGTGATTTGATAATTTATTTTATCTCCATCTCTTTTATAGTTTATCTTAGAGTTTTAGCCCTTTTTATAATTAATGCATTGCATATTCTATCTCGTTCTTTATCTTGGATCGTAACGGGTACTTTCTATTTTACATGAGGTCTTTTGCAGGCTTTTGGATTCTTGATGCGGTTGCGGTTTATATTGGATATGGGCTTATTGGGCTTGAAAAGAGTTATTAGGCTTTACAGATCCATCAAAGAAGAATTGGGGTTAAAATGTTGAAGACTTGGATGAAGTGGGCTTATGAAGATGGGTCATGGACTCTTGTTATTGGTCATGGACTATCCATTTTAATCGCGAAGATGATTGGTTATATTTAAATCATGTGAGGTGTGGAGGGGACTAAGGGAATATAAGTAGTGGGTGGAGTAGTGGAGAAAAAGAGCCAACATAGTTTCAACACCATTTGCAAGGATGGGGGTCTCGGTCCCACAATATTGCGAGGGCACCCAACGGCACACTTTAGGGCGTTTTGGTTATTATACTCATAGTTTACCTTGGGGGTTGGGTTTGGCAGCCACACTTCTATTTTTCCATCATTGGGGAACCTTGGAGGTGATTTTTTCAGAGCTAGATCTACAATCTTCTCATTCTTCTAGTAATTGTTAATCTATTGATGTTAGAATACTTTTGTGATTATTTTCATGTTGCCATGAGTGGATAATCTCTTTATTTTTGTTGAAATGGGCTAAAATCCTTGGATAATCTTCTCACTCTTTATTTTTATTGATCCTTGGTTCCTAATTCTTATGCTTGTTTAATACTTTGATCATGAGCTTAGTACTTGAATGAGCAATTGTTAGTTTTTTTCTTTGATTTAGTAATGAATCATTTAATTTACATAGAACAAGGGCTTTATGATGGTAGAAATTATCTCTAGCATATCGATTATGACTCCTTTATGGAATGTGTAAGTATTAACATCCTCCTTGAATTGGGAATCCAATCATTCTTAAGGCTAATCAATTTTATTGGGTTCAATTGCTTCAATTGAGTTCTTGATTTTGATTAATAAGGTGTGTTGTGGGCTTCCCCAACCTACATACTACCTTTGTGGAATTATTCCATATCATGCTTCATGATTGCTATAACCAATTTCGGATGAATGATAATCTTGCAATTTTAATCCTAATGATAAACATACAAATGTTCATTGTGTTGAATTGCCTTAGCTGACCAGTTCTCTTCAATATTTGAGCATCTCACCATCTTGATTAATTGTGAGTATTTTAGTTCTTCAAGTCTTTTAGTTTTCAAACAGTTACAACCCCCCCCCCTTTTAGCTTAATTGTAGTTATTTTAATTACACTTGTTCTATTGGATTGCATTGATGATTGCATATAACCATTTCCCCAAGGATCGATACCCCTTTTTATCATTATGCAGGGACTTAAGGCTTAATGAAAAAGATATAAAACTAAGTCAACCAAACGTGGTCAATGCCTCATGAAAGTTGAAGACTCTCGAGAAATCCGGGTAAAGAAAAGGTCAAGGAGAATCCCAAGAATGTCGGAGTTTTAGTTATTCTTTTTATGTATAAAATATTAGTTGATTAATACACACACAAACACTTCCACTTCTTCTTTGTCTATGATTCTTTCGACACTTGAGCACAATCACATTCTTTCTAACATCAGCTATCACCTGTAATTGTTATTCTCGATTAAATATAAGTTCGAAGGCTGGTGAATTTATCACCTCCCAAGGTTTTATGATGAAGATCCAAAACGATTAAGGGATTTCCTTGTACATCACTATGTTATTTCTTTTAATTTACTCATTTGTCATTGTTTTAATCATTCTTTGCATAATCATTTGATTGATAATATGTTTTCATATGGACTTATCAAGATATTATGTTGTATCTTAATACCTTTTCGAGTATCTTACAACTATCTTATAGAAAATAATTTGTTAACCATTTTAATATGATTTTCATCCCAAATATTCCAAAAACACTTGTTTACACTTTAAAACGAATCAAGTTCACTTAACAACTTTTTAAATATTATTGCTTTCTTCCGATGATCTTGGGCACGACCAGGATCTTCGACATATTTCAAGATTTTAAGAACTATAGTTTATAATATCTTACTTCTAACATCACACCACACTTACTAATTTGGTTACAAATTTAGTTTGTTAAATTTTGACCAAAAAAGTATGGTGTTAAGTTGAAGGGGCTCTGTGATTAGTTTTCTACTATTGGCCATCATGTGGATGAACTTGATAAAAGTCATTGGTTCCTTTGTGGACTTGGCGCCTCATTTGAAACTATCTCTATAACTTACCACCCTATCAAACCTCACCCACTCTTTCATGATCTTGTCTCATAAGTTGAAGCACATGAGTTGTTTCTCAATGTTATTCATGACACTTCATTGCTTGTTGTTGCTTTCACAATAAATCGACAACAGTCCCAGACTAATTCTTCTCATGATGGTACCCCTGCTGGTCGTGGTACCCTTTCTTGTGGGACTTCTAGACATGGATGTGGTTCCATAAATGATGGTCGTGGTCATGGTCGTCTTCTACCACATTACCAATTGTGCACAACAAATTTTCACTATGTAAACTCCTGTCCATATTCGGTCTTTTTTGCTAACTAAGCTTCTTCCAAAAATGTTACTTTGGGTCAGATTTTTCAAGCTCAGTTCCATGTTCCTAATGATTCACCTGACTGGCATATGAAAATTGTTATTCCTCTGCTATCTCACATATTGGTAACAAATCCGTTTCCTGAGATCATATGTTCTTATAGTTCCTAACATCACCAAGAATCTTCTCTCAATAGCAAATTGACATAAGATTCTCCAACTGATGTCCTATATTCTAATATTTTTTTCTATTCAGAATAAATTCACATAGGAAATAATAGCAAGGGGCAGATATGAGAATGGATTATATGTATTCAAACGGAGCAAACATGTGTTTCTTTCTAGTTTAAAGTCTTCGAATTTACGTTCATCTTATGAATTATGTCACAATAGATTAGAACATGTTGCATTTAACACTATTGTATTATTAAATAATTTGGGTTCTTTATCTGTTACATATCTTTTACAAAGACCACATGTTTGTTCTTCATTTTAACTTTCCAAAAGCAAGAAATTACCATTCCAAATTAATGTTAAAAGATCCTCACAAGTACTAGATTTTATTCATTGTGATCGACAGGGACCGGCACCTGTTCCCTCCAAAGAAGGATATCGATATTATTGCGTATTTGTTAATGAGTTTTCTGAGTTTTATGGTTTTATCTGTTTTGGTTAAAATCTTATTTCGTTACTACTTTTACCACTTTTC